TCATCCTTTCTAATCTTTGCTACTTCCTGCTCTACAATATTCACCTCTTCCCCCCTTCTTTCCCTCTCATTTTCATCATTCATCAGTTCCTCAAAATACTCCTTCCATCTTCTCTGCACACTCTCCTCACTTGTTAGCACCTTTCCATCTCTGTCTTTAATTGCCCTTATCTGTTGCACATCCTTCCCATCTCCATCTCTCTGTCTCACTAATCTGTACAAGTCCTTCTCATCTTCCCTCATGTCTAACCTGGCATACAACTCATCATATGCTTTCTGTTTGGCCATTGCCACCTCCCTCTTCACTCTACACTATCATGATCCTGCCCTGCTGGCTTCCAGTTCTCCCTGCTTTTACTCTGAAAGTACTTTCTGCCACCAGCTCATCCGCAACCCCGGTAAATTCAGCTCATCATGCACATTGGTTTCACCTGCCACTAATCACCCACACCTGTTCACCACAGCATATAGATTGTTTTATGCCTTGTCTAGACTCTCCAGCGTTTTTCCCGGACTGCTTTCCTGCGTACCGGACCCTTGCCTGCTCTAACAACCTGTGATCCAGCCTGCTCCCTCTTGTCTGACTGCCAACCTGAGATCGACACCCTGCCTGTTCAACCAACCTGTGATTCTGCCTTGCCTTCCCTGCTGCCCTGCCGGAGACTTCGACCTTGGGCTGTATTCAGTACCACTCTTCTGCCTGATCCCCCAAGACTGTTTTTTTGCTAAAATCACAAAAGGACATTAAAATCTGTTCTACTGCCTCAGCTGACTGGCTTTTTAATTGGGTTCACTTTATCTTCACGGGAGCGTCACTCACATCCCTGACATACGCTGCAATTTCTTGTAATCCTGTCTACTGTCTTCAGTCCTTTCTATGTCCCACTTCTTTTTAGCTAGCCTCTTCCTCTGAATGCTGTCCTGTACTTCTTCGTTCCACCACCATGTTTCCTTATCTTCTGTCCTCCTTCCAGATGACACACCTAGCACCTTCCTACCTGTCTCCCTGATCACTTCTGCTGTAGTTTCCCAGTCATCTGGAAGTTCTTCCTGACCACCCAAAGCCTGTCTCAACTTCTGTCTGAATTCCTCACGACATTCTTTCTTTTGCAACTTCCACCA